TTCCATACAGCTTTTTTTTTTTTTTTGTTCAGTGAGCCTTAGAGGACAGACAGCCTCAACTTGAGAAGAAATGTATAGACTCTAATTTGTGTTCATTAGATTGGGTGAGAGCCCGACTTAATTTATTTGTATTATTAGCTGCTGACTAAATAAAATGGTTTTATGGTATTTGACCTGCTTTGATTCGTTTTTGGTGAAATTTTGATATAATATTGACTATGAAATTTGGTAAAAAAAAACAAAATCTCCCATTGACTTAAGGCAAGGTCACACGGCATCAACAGACACTAACTGAGGCCAGCAGACATGTTTGATGGATTTCAGAACTGTGTGTTAGGCCTGTTGGTCTGTTGCCATTGGTCGGTGTTTGTTTTTACCCATTGAACATTCAATCAGTGTTTGTCAGGTCAGGAATGTCTGGACAGTATGGTATGATTTTCTAACAAACTCTTGATGTAATCTGGTAATTGCTGGTGTCTGTTGGTGCAGTGTGAATTAGCTTTTAGAATGGTCACAATTCAAAATCTAACGGGCAGCTATGATGCCATTGTAATATTTAAAGGATTAACTGCAATTAGTCTTTATTGCATTTATTTGCATACCAAATAAAAACTGGCCTTCTTTTATTACATGTATTTAGTTGGCATGAGATGAGAATTCACCTAATCTTTTTTGTAAATGCAATTTCTACATCTTATTGTGAACAATTCATGTTTATGTATGTTGTAGTTTTATTTCGACTCCCATTATGTTTAATCAAAACATCATGATCTTCCAGTGAAAATGTCTGGTTACGTATGCAGAATTTCAGAATCATGCAGAATAATTTTGTTCACCTAAAGCCCACCCCTCCACAAATAACAAGCATTTTCAATTTCTGCATGCATTTTTAAGAGCAACACTCACATCTCAACAACAACCAATGGATAGATCCAAGTCCTCACCCTACTTTTCTCATTTCCATGCATGACCCCAAAAAATTAAATGCTGCTACTTAATTGGCATAATAGGATTTTGGCATTAGTATGTGTTCCAGCCATGTTGGAATTACCACAATTGCGAGATTAAGTTGGAGGTCTCCGAAAAATCTTACATCTTAATATTACAGCAATTCTGACACAGTGTGAATGCACCATTAAAAGCAGAGCTTTAGACTTTAGTATTCAGTGTCAATCACTCACAATCAAGTCACCGACTAAAAAAAATTAACAAAACACATTTTAATGAAGTTTAATAAATTTAATTGTCTTTGGAGTGACTCTTTTCCATAGAAACTTTAAAAAATACAACTTTTATACAAATATCTTGGGTGACTTTAGCAAACGTAGTGACATGGAACAAAGACAGCATTGTGTTAAAAGCAGCCATAAGAGGTGTTGTAGTTGAATCAGGGCTGCTCTATTGCAGTGGTGTTGATTTGAGTTATCAGTGTCTGTAAGACCTCAAGTCTGGTCCTGACCCACTGAGGCGGGGACATGTTGTGGTCTGGCCCCACTATTGCCTGCAGGGCTTTCAAGGCACTTTCTGCTGTCTGGAGGTATCGCTCATACTCCTCTTCTACTTCCGTCTCCTGTCTTGCCCTCTTCGGACATGGCTGAACAGGTAAAGAATTGCAGAATTAGTAAAAACTTGTTCCATAGGTATGCCAGGCAATAAAGCCATCCTCTCACTCACCTCCTCAGTAAGTGGCGTGTGTACAGGTGAGCTGGTCTCACGCTCCATTTGCTCACAGTGTTTCTCTATTATACTCCTCCACTCCTTCAGACGTTCTAGTCTTGCTTCCTTGGACTCCTGGTGTGAGACGGTCTGTAGAAAGTGATACATTAATCTATATAAGGAACACTGAAATAAGACAAATAAAAACATTTTTAAGTCAATATGTATCTCTCATTTCATACCTTACTGAGAAAGTTTAACACTTTGGTTTTGATCTCCTCTGATGTCAATGTCTGAGAAATCACTTCCTCATGGTTGGTTATCTTAAGTTACAAAAGAGACATTTGAGCTAGCTTACAAAACTGTTGACTGAAAAAAGTGATAAAGAGGGATGTGATTTGAGATTTATTTTTTACCAAATAAATATATAATAATAAAAACTCAAGTTCTTGAGCGAGAAAATGATCACTTAGCTTTACGTTACAGGATTTATCTATACTTGCTGAAGTAAATGCACCCTTGAGTCAAGAACTTATCATTATACATTCACTTCTGATTTACTCAAATACAAATTTAACAATTAAGGAAAATGTCTGTTATTTAATAAAAACATGGTTGGTTATATAATAGGGAAATTCCCACCTCTGCAAAGAGGCCAAAGGCCTCCAGGACATGATGGAGGATCAGCCAGGATGGGTGAGTCAGGAGACCATTTAACAGACCACTGATTCTGGGCAAAACTTGACACTGCAGTCACACACATACATATACAGATGCACACACAATGAAATGACCAATGAAAGAACTAATTTCCTGTCTTTTATTTATTTTTTTACTCATATTCCACTTCTACCTGAATATTGGGAGAAATAAATATTCTTCCCATGGAAGCAAGGAACTCCAAAGCAGCTAAAAGAAGGTCATCAGGGCATTTCTGGATAGTCAACCCACTCAAACAGGAAACGGCCTGTTGTTTTGCAAAAAACAAATTAATAAAAAACTTGCATCAAAATTAACTAAGATCTAAAAAGATGAATTTTGAAACTATGAAGGCCCAAAGAAAAGAATAAATGTTAAAATATCACCTGCACAATGACATGTGGCTCTATACTGCTGATCAGAACAGCTGATATTGACAGGAGTAACTTTACAGTGCACTGGAGAGGAGGATGAACCTGCACCTAACAGTAGATAAACAGTGGGGGTAAACAGTAACATGTAATAAACAGTAACATGTCACCCCTTTAAGTGCTACTGCTTAAACGTTTGGAGTCAGTAAGACTCTAAGAAAGAAAGAAATGTTTCTGAAAAGTATCTTATGCTCACCAAGGTTGCATTTATTTGATCAAAAATACAGTAAAAACAGTAATACTGCGAAATATTATTAAATACAAAATAACCTTTTTCAATTTTAGTGAATTTTAAAATGAATTTATTCATGAGTTGGCAGTCTTCAGTGTCACATGACCCTTCAGAAATCATTCTAATACGCGGATTTGTTGCTCAAAAACATTTGGGGACATCAGATGCCCATTTTCCACAAGTTGGTATGATTCTTTAGGGCTTCATGAAAAGTCTATAACATACTTTGGTTAAAATTTCTCAATGGTAGTATAGAACAACACCCTTTTTAACTTGTCAAAAACAGCTCTGTTCACACCAGAGCATGTGAGCGAAGCGGAGCGGTGTGACGCGGTTTTCCGCTCTATGGACGTGCGCTCCACTCAGTCGCTCTAACCGCCCAAGCAAGCGCTCCGTTAATATTCCGCTCACGCTCGCCGTAAACCAATTTTTCCGTGAGTTGAAGAGCCATTCTCACAAGACTGTAAACTTTAGCCACATTCCTCGTGGAACTTGCTAACTAGCACATTATTAGGAAAGGTGATTTGCAAAGATCCTTTAAAAAACAAACAAACAAAAAAAGCTTCTGTAGGTGAAGCTGGATCACGAATGATTCGCACGAACATAAACGAATTTAGGTAGATCAGGGGAGCATTCCCTTCAAAAACAATCCACTGTGTATTTAGCGGCTCAGATGTCGGGAGTAAATGACGACGGCTGTTCATTATTACATCCAGCAACAAAAGACCTCAATCGCTTAGGAGACATTCTTGTCTACACCTGCTCCGGCATCAAAACAATTTACACAAAAGCGGACTGTTTGCAGCTCACTCAGGGCGGGTCAATGCTAAAATGGCAGTGTTGGTCAATAGTCGTGAGAGGGGCCAAGAATCTTTAAATGGCTTGATCCGAGACAGTGCTTACAATTTTTGGGGATTTAAAAAAAGCCCTGGGTGGATTTTTATCATTATAGGGTGGTTGTATACACACACTGCCAACACACATTTATGTTCAAACAGAATTTTGTATCTGATGTCCCCTGTACTGACCCCAAAATTTTGAACAGTTATGTGTATGTTAAATCTGATCACCTGGTTGCTACTCATGCAACTCCACAGCTGAGAGATGATCTTCACAGAAGATATCACACACTCAGCCTGCAGGTTGCTTCCGCCCATCAACATCAGCACACAGCCTAGTATCCGGTTCTGAATCACAAGGAGAAACCATATTTATCTTAAAGGCCAGTCTGGTTTTTAAAGGCAGGATGTCAGATAGAGTTTACACACTGCTGATTTGTCAATCTACAACACAATAAAATCTTAAGTGTTTAAATAACAATTAAAAAAAACAAAGTTTTCCATGGTCAAACGGTGTAAGTGCATGATTTTGTTTTGTGTCCATAATCAAAACTTTAATCTACAACAACCCTCACCAGAATTTGTTCAGGGTAAGACTGAGGCATAAAACACATTCATAGCCTTGGAACTTGAATGTGGATCGAAGACTGTCTGTTTCCTCTTCATTACCCAATTGTGTCTTGGGTAATGAACTGTTAGTGGTGAAGTTGTTTGTATAATATGCCAGCATTTTTTATGTTTTTAAAATCAAGGCCTTGTGTAATTAAAAAAAGATGGCAAACATCCCGTTAAGAATAAAGTTTGTGTTCAGTGGCGCCAATGTTACTTTATTTCTCTCACAAGTTTTGGTATATCTCCCATCCTGTAGCTGTTATTCTGCCATTCCTGCAGCACAACAGAAGCCCTGGAAAGCACCTCTTTCTCCACCCGCATACATGCCTCTGCGCACAGACCCCTCAGCAGAGTGTGGCGCCACACACACAGGTTCTCCTCCTGAGCAGGAGGGAAGTGCTCCACAAACTCCACCTGTCACAAGAAACACTCCATCACATTTTTAAAATGTACCATTTTGCTACCTACAAAACCAAAACAACTGTGGTAACAAAAATAAACTATATTACAAACTCATCAATGTTCTGAGGAAGTTTTTTCTGCAGAGCGGTGTTCATTTTCTTTATCTGGACTAGAGAAAAAGAAACTAACCTGGTGTTTTGGTGTCATGAGAAATAGCAGACGTCTAAGAAGCAGGGCCAAGTGAAACAGCTGATAACCCTCACCAGGACATGACCTTATCTAGACAGTACAACAACAATACAGGTCATGGAAGCAATTAGTGGACTACTAAAAACCTGAGGTTTTCTTGCAATTTGTTCAGACATAATGTTTAAACCAAGAGAACTTAAAAAAAGAAATTCTAAACACTCTCCAAAAATTTTATTTCAATGGGTCAAAAGAGTGTTTAGTCCTCTTTAAAACAGAAAAATTAAATTGTAAGGAAACAGAATAGAACAAATACAGTCTTGAGGCAAAACATAGATGTATGGTCTAAATGAAGACAAAGGTATTTGGACTTTCTCTAATTGTCAAATGTAAAGATCACACACACACAAAAATGTATAGACTTTATTTTTTTAAAGAAATTAATACTTTTCTTCAACAAAGACACATTAAATTGATCAAAAAAAGACAGTAAAACCATTTTTAACGATACAAAAGATTTCTATTTCAAATAAATGCTGTTCTTTTGAACTTTCTATTCATGAAAGAATACTGGAAATTATACGTTGAAATATATTTTTAAAAGTCATTACTGTTCAGCATTACTGTTGTACTACATTTTTGATTAAATAAATGCAGCCTTGGCAAACATAAGACTTTTTCAAAAACATTAAAAAAAAAAATCTTACCAACTTTTGATTAGTTGTGTATAGTTTAAAAAAAATAATTTTAAGTTAACATGATTGTTTTACTGTAATTTTGATCAAATAAATGCAGATCTGGTAAGCATATGAGGACTTTGTGTATTTGTGTGTGTTTATCCATACACATACTGTATATAGAACCCATAGAATAAGTTGTTCACTAACACTTGTAATAATTAACAACATTTACAAGAATACCAAGCACACAAGAAAAATAGCACAAGACTGTTGTGATAGACAGGTGTGTTCTTCCCCATGCTCATTTTGACACCAATTGTCAGCTCAGTCAGGGTGTAAGAGAGAAAAAGGGTCCCCTGTGGTCCCTCATTCCAGACAGGTTTCCAGAATACCACAAGAGCACAAAAAGGTCGCATTCCCAGCACATTCCCACTCACCAGGTGAGCAAGAAGGAGAACATGATGAAAACACAACTCGGCCGTGCCATACCTGGAGACAGAAAGAACACAACTCTGATATTGTATATAAGCATGTTTTTCTTGCATTCTTTAGAGCTGTAGATGTTTTCCAACTTGTATAGACACATGTCTAAGCAGAGTCTTGTTAATAATCATAATTCAGGTTTTTTATTGGA